TCTTTTTGACTCGTCAGCTTTTAGTTTATCTTGTTCCAGAAACCATTCACGGTAGGTCTCCAGCTTCTCCTTCCAGTCATCTGAAAATGACAACCATTTTGTTAGTGTCTCACGTAATTATAGCGTAATGTGTTCATTAATTCCTTCTTGTATCTGATTAAGCACAAGGTCTCCATTTACATTTGCCTTACGCACTAATGCACTATGAAAACTTTTAATGGACAAAATCAATTTACAGTGTCTTGTTCATAGATCGGCTTTTTACTGGGTAGTGCACATTCTAAATTTAGATTCAAGTTCTGCCTTTGTATGCTGAAATAATACTGACATTGTGCATACACATATATTTCGTCATTATACCAGAGCCTTGCGTGTTGGGCTGAGGAAAACATGGCGAGATTATACGTTACGTAACAGAAACAAACTTTGACTTACTCCAGAGGTCGCTTATAGAACCAGCTTGACCTCCAAATTCTTCAGGTAGAATCTTTCTGTCGATTTCTTTATGGAGAGTGTTCATTCCTTTTGTATGAACTTGCATCTGAAATTAAAATATGACGTAAATTGTGTTAAATTCTTTAAAGTTAAAATATTATGCGTTGTATGTAAGTTGTTCAAAGACGCTGGTAATGTGAAGTGGTATTATTTCTAATCGTTCAGGATACGAAGAACAATTTTTGCAAAAACTCTCACTTCTGATGTTTACCGATTTATTTTCTCATATCGTATGCAAATGTGATTATAAAATATTGACACAAACTTGAGGCTGAAATGCTAGTTTGGCTAAATTACACGTAGTATGGCATATAGGCAATTTAATTTCAGTTGTAATGTCGTATTTATACCAGCGAATTGCTGGAGCGACTGACGAAACACCGATAACTAAGCCAGACAAACTGTAGGAGTTAATATATTTCAAAACATATTTAAGTTTATATGCTTACAATTACACACGCAGTATGGCGATTTAAAGTCGAAGAAAATGAGAACAGCCTACTTGATGTGTAGAAGTGTAAAATAATTTTCAGGCAGCAAATTTACACGGTTATTACAAATGTGGTGTAATTGCCTAAAAGAGATTGCTGGTAATCCAGCTGCTCCTCGAGATGTGATTTCTTTTCAAAAATTACAAATATTGACTGGTTATTACAGTGTTTAAAACTCAGCCGCCATTGTTCGTGTCGGTCACTTTTTTTGTGTGACTGCAAAAAGAACTCACTCTAGAGGCGATCTTGGGCTTCATGACGCTGCGCACAAGGTTGATGAGCACGTCAGCATATCGCGGCACATTCACGTAGTGGATTGCCCTTATTCTAGCACTATAACCCTTCTGAAAGTATAAACAGGCCCACGAATTTCACGTTACATGCACTCTGTCTTGTTAAAGGATAAGTAGGTTCTTCACAGTACTGATGATGTACTGTTTCGTTTGAACCGAGTCCTTTTAAGTAAACTTTCATGAATTATTTTTTGGCAAAGCCAAATACTGTAACAAAGGAACTGAATTAAACGGTATAGTAATAAACACAGAGGAAACTAAGCACATATGCGTCTCATTACAATCTAGAACAAAGTCAGAGTACAAAGGCTTTTAAAGAAATTTTTCTCTCTTGGTAGTAGGACATACAGAATGCCCCAAAACGTTGTATACACATTATAACACAGGAATATTTACCTTGTTATTATCGATCTCCATATGTTGAGTTTACGGAAGATACGGGCGTTGGCGATTTTGAACAACACTAGATTTGATAATTCACTAAGGGCCAATAGTGATGTATGTGATGGTTTAGTTTAATAAAATGTCATTCCTTCATTAGTTGAATGTGTGTACATCGTTTTTGCACACTCTGTGTTTAGTGTTAAGAAGGAAGAATGCCGATAGGAGACCTACTTTTAGATTCTTAGCGATGGATCCCGAAAGCAGACGTTATTGATGGTGCGGAAAATAACTGTCTGAATATCCAGCATCAGTATTGGATACCATTGAAAAAATCTGTTGCATGTAGGATGGGCACAGTGGAAACTTACTATGGCACATATTTCGAGCTTCTTGACTGCCGGCATGGTGATTTTGGCAATGTGACCTACTCCGAAGTTGGTCATATCCACGATGTAGGTATCAGCCACGCAGCAGTCCTCAGAAAATCTCACATCACCTACCATGAAAATGAGTTTGAAGACATCGAGGACATTATATTTACTGGCATCTGGGTCTAGGTTCCCCAGCACCACAACTCGGTGACAGTCGTCTGTTAGTGTAGGAAGTGGCAGACAGTACCTGCACCATAATGAACGAACAAGTTAGTGATCAGTTTCCCAAATACATGGACGTTGTAACTGTTGGACTTGCAGTATTCAGTAGCGCCAATCTGAGAACTACTTGGCCTAAAACTGAGTCGAAGTTTCCTCTCAACGCATGGAGAAACTTCTGAAGTATGTTAACGTGGCGTGCTCAGAAATGGCATTTTGTCACACTTCTGTTCTGTTTGAAAGCTTGAATGACAAAATATTTGTTTTTATCTGGGCATGAACTTTAGTTGTTCGTTTTGTGGTTGCAACGGAAATTGAGTGTGCAGGAACAAAGTTCTGGTGTCACTAATTTTGCGTGGGAAGAGAGGAAAGTAGTAGTTTGTTAAGACTTTGTTCACTTATTATTGTAAAATTTAAGAGGGAAAATTAATTCTATTTGAAGAACTAAATGCATAAAATTTTCTGACTGGAGACTCATAATGAACAGACGAATTGTAAGACCGAGGCGTAAGATGGATGATACTATTAAAGTGGATGTTAAGATAATTATCTTATGGAGTTATCTGGATCGGACTGGCTCAATATGGATTCCAGTTGCGAGCTTAGCAACAACTGCTAAAACCCTTTGGATGTTATAAGCTGATTTTTTTATATTATGAACTTCTGGGGTGTCAAATGCTAAAAGAATTTCAGAAGCATGAGCTGAACTTAAGTGTTTTCACTGAGCAAGTTAATATCCGCAATATTTCCCCTTTGGGAAATCAGCCTAGACGAGGAAATGATAGATATGACTACTGAATTTAAGTTGTGTGGATATTTAGGTCACTTACGAAACGCTTGTGATCTGTCTGAACCAGGGACTGAAGGGATCCCTGTTGGAGAGTATCTCAGGTACAACAGCCCGTAAGGTGTAGTACATATCTATGGCCGATTTGGTCCTTTCCAGGCTCGCCTTACACCAAACAAAGCGTCGTTCCAGTCTCCCTTCATCTGCAGTGACGCAAAGTGTTGTTAATTCTGTATTTTGCACACTTCTTATGATAATCCGAACACACAACTAGCTCGTATTTACTCCCAATGTTATTCACTTATCATTCATTATTACATTATCAATGACACGGATTCGTTACGTAAATCAACAGACGTAGCTTGTTGCGATTCAGATAAAGGGGAATTACATTGGCGGCAAAATGTAGACGGAAAGTCTGACGGGAGGATAAACTTGGAGACTTAAACGTAGATGTGACGATGATATTAGAAGTGAGGGTGTGGACTGGACGAATCTGAGCTTCTATGAATCTGGTACTGAAGTACTATTGTTGCTGGATAAAGCAGTGAATTAGCTGCAACAATGAGATACGGCTGCAGTAATTCAGTATTGTCATTGCTTTCCTTGTTGTGTGAAATAGTAATGGTTGCTTTCCGATGGAGTATTCTGTATCAAGATATGAGGGCGACGTGTCGGTAAAGACAATACCTGTAAATCGATCGCCGTCTGGAGGACTTACCATCATCATATGGTAGATGTGGCTGTAACATAAGCCAGTCCTTGAGGTTCTTCACTGCTTCTTGTATCCTTGTTTCGTTGACACCAGCAGAAGCCCTAACGTATTCCACCACGTCGTTACTTGAAGGCGGAAGAGCCATAATGAACATTTCTAGTGACGCTGGCGAAATGAGGTCTGCCCCCGTTAAACTGTGAGAAAGTTATGGTTCTTTCACTGTAATTGAAGTGCAGAAGAACCGTCAAGAAATCGTGTTACACTCTTGGTATTGAGTGTGTACTCTGACTTCCTGATTATTAATCAGAAACCGAAGTCGGTGGTAAATGGCACATACTTAGAAATAGGGAGATCCGGGGCTTCAAATCTAGTGCTGGTGATCGACTATTATAACTAAGACTGCTCGAGACCCATCTGACTTCCTCGAGGTAAAGCATCGGGATATAGTTTTAAAACATTCCACAATAAATCTCACATCCGCGCGAATTGTTCACAAATAAACCTATCTTAAAATTCGTTACATGGTTTATACTGTTGTAGGTTGAAACAGCGCAGCTGTCAAACCTTCACAACATAACTATTTTATTTAAAAATTAACATTTATTACTGTCCTAAGGAAGGACAGTAAGCAACGTAAGTGTTTGAATAATAAATTTACATTCATGTGGTTTAACTCCGTGTTCCCAACGGCAAAACCAAAGTTTCAAGGAAGCGACGGAGAAATTCATTTACTCGTACACGTGATGATCGGTCGAAACGAAGGGGACCAACTGCACTGTCCTGACATCTTTTATTAGAATCTTAGTTTATTTAATGAGGTTTTTTTCAGGTATATTTTTAACGGACTGAAAGGCGAGGAAGAAGCAGTTGTCTCTTGTAAGACACCGTCCTAGAACTTGCCTGGAGGGTATGAGAAAAAACACGAAAGTGTACAGTAAAGGGGTTTTGTCCCTTGGAAGCAATTCGAACCTGAGAACTTCCAAATATGAAAAACGTGCATTAATCACTCAGTTTCACTATCTTGCCGATGTAAATGCTAAGGCACGTGACTTATGTTACATTTCTGGCTCATAGAGTAGTCCTTATAGTACCTATTTAAGAAAGCCGAAACATTTGTAGAGGTTAGCTAGTTCGAACGACACGAGATGATAAAGTATTGACATAAATCAGTTACCGTATCTTTCAAGATACCAACTATCGTCGTGTGGAAGGAACTATGAAGGGGTTTAGTTGGGGGGAAAGCTCCACGTATCATGGACCTCTGCGCAAGATGTAGGTTAATGGTTAGCTACACGTTCTGGACGCGACATACTGTTTAATGATTTCCACACAAAATACTTATATGAGACTAATAGTTCCAAACCTATGTCATAATTAAATGAGACTTACATGTAAATATAATAAATATGGCTTTTGCTTGTTATGTAATTATGATTCAATCCATAAATTTAATACAAAATATCCACACGCGAAGATTTTATTCAGGTGCTAATTATGCCAGAGAGTTGTTCTCCAAAACCATAAAAAACATTTGCACAGTGTATAAGGATATATTTCATTATTGAATCGGCTAATTGATAAATGTTTAGTTAAACACGTTTGGTTCTTAACGTACCAAGAGACCGTTCTGGTGTCCCTGCGGCTGCGTAGTGCGTCTCCGTCAGCAGAAAACTAGGAACAGTTTTAAATATGCCACATCAGTGAACCACAAGAACACCGCCTTCGTTATGCACATACACTGTACATTGCGAATCCTTCACAAAATGCACTTATACACGCGAACCTCATCAGACATTGAAGCTAAGACTGTTTTGTCACTCCCGTTTATACAGCAGCGTAAAGAAAGTTCCTGTTAGAAACAGAAAGTTGTCTGGGATCTAGCCTAAGACAGCAGATGCCTCGGCGTAATGTAGAGAGTGCAAGCGTCATGTTCGTAAGCGCATTTGAGTAACAGCAGCACGTGGCTGGAACTCTTAAGCGTTTTAGTGTGATTGGCTGAAGTTCGAAACATATCATTGTCCCACTGTTAAATCTACTAAATTGTACGTGTGAAAAAGATGCAACAAAAATTCATATAACGACCCTGATGATGGAGGCAATAGTTTCCTCTAAAACGTCGGTAAATATCTACCGGATTTCGCGGTCTAACATCCCAGAAGATGAACATCTTCATGCAAAAATCATGTTAATTTGTTTCACCGAATTTTGTTAGCAGACGCGTGTACCTTTTTGAGTGAGTTGCAAAGCATAAAATTTCCAGTCGTAATTGTTTCCGATTTCATACGGATTTGGAATGTCATGTGGTGAAACATGATTTGATCTTTCTCTTTCAGTCCATTGCACTACGACAGCAGGTGGTACGGCGTTGACTTTCTCTTCTGTTTTTCGGGATCCGCAGATCCTTTCACTTTTTTTTTTTTAGAATAATTAATGTAAGACAACTTAATTATTATTTCTTGCAATGTAAATCAAAAAATGCTTAAGTCGACTGGGTGCGTTTTTAGACGAGATTTTTTTTTCGCAGTACGGAGTGTCCTGACCAGCTTTCGTAATACTTTAATGCTAGAAAATTGTGTTACTTTCGATATATATCTACCTTGTATTTGTGGCTGAAGTTCACATATTCCAAGCACGTGGGTGCGGTCTTACGTGGGGAACTGTAGGAATTCAAATGCTGTGCGTTTTCCAGAAATTCCGTTTAGTGGCGTTTATTACAGAACATTTTCTTTCATGCAATAACAGAGCGCCTTTTACGAGGATATTTCGATAAATTCTTCAAGGGAAAGAAAGAGGTTTAAAGGTTTCATTAGGTTATGTACTTCCTTTACTCGAATAATTTAAAGAATGAACATCGGGCAAGGACAAGGGGCAAATACGAATTAATTTCTGAAAAAGGGAATCAACAATGCATGCACTACACTGCATATTAATATTGTTAAAAGGCTGATTACCCGTAAAATATTAGGCAGCTGTGGATGAAGGTAAAAATTGTCTCTTCTTCTAGTTCGTGGGGCATGAAAAGGTGTTTCAAATAATAACTATAGGCCTGTGAGCAGAAAAATTAGTCAGTAGACTACAACAAACACCTGTAATTTTTAACAAGGAGGACAGAATGTTGTAAACATGTTCTATTAATGCCCTTAATTTTGGTTCGGAGCTACGTAAATGCATTGTCTATTAATTCTACTCTGCCTGCCCGTCTATATTGTCCCGATTCAATCCCTCTGAAGGTGATATTCGAAGCGTATAAATTATGAAGCTTCTTGTTATACCACTTTATCCATTACTAACATAGAAGTCTGCTGAAGAAGAATAAATAATGTAGAATGTTTGGTAGCTATGTTGCTGTCGGATTGTCAACGTTGTCCCAAACTGGTATGAAACATATATACTGACAAGAGCATGAAAGGACAATCTTATGGGTTTTAATGGCTTTAAGCTAATTTTACGTACACACACACACAGTGCCTTAATTAAAACCTCATAGTTTCTGCAGTGCGGCTGAAGTACAGAGACTCCGTTAATTTTGGGTTAATGATATACGAAATAACTTGCGTGAGTGAAATTATTTGCTTCAATTGCAGCTTTTATTTATCTTACTTAATATATTGCAGAATAAGGAAACCAACAAGGAACTGCTGAATGTACACCCATTTTAATTAAAATTGCACATCTGTAAGAAACCTCTGAGCAGATGTGTAGGCATATTAAATCACTGCACTAATCAATAGAGAGTTGTCTGAACGAGCCGTCAAACCCAAATATCTCTTCACTATTGATTCCTGTACCGATCCGTTTAGATTCGTCGGACTTGAATTTGTCCTGATCCAGTAACCAGCGCCTGTAGGTTTTCATGTGATTCTTCCAAGAAGCTGAGGGAATGAGAAAATATTGATGTAATACAAGGAGACCACAATGTTTTTAATTCTGTGAAGTCAAGAAGTTTAAAATTTACCTCATACGTTAAACTTTCAAGTTCGTAACTTTTTGTTAATGCCAGGGTTTTTTCAAAACTTTATAAACCTTCAATCTATAACAGATTTTATCTTCTCACAGTTATATTTAGCAAAATTAAAGACAATGCACCAATTTTCTTGAATAATATTTTATAAATGAAGTTGATGGTGACTGAATGACAGGTGAAATATGTTGAAAAATACGGACTCCAGCGAAATATTGCCTGCAGTGAACACCAGACCAGTGACAGTAAATGGAAGGTTACAATAGTATGATCACCACACGACAGGATGCTGCAGTACAAGTTCATCTACACGTGTATTTTCTGCAGATTCTGAGTTACAAATGGTGCGCATAAGAATGCTTCAAACCAGAGGCAGTTAAACACAGCTCTTCTACACTGACAATAAGACTAGTTCAACGCTGTAATTCAGTTACGGTATTTCTGGTGTTACTTCCAGTGTAAATTAAAGTAACTTACATTGCATTTCAGCAAATGGTCCTGCGTCACCGCCGTATTCATTAGGAAGGATTTTCTTTGGAACATATTCGTACAGTGTTTCATTGCCTTTAGAATGGATGTGAATCTGTGAAGTTCACAGATAGACATACGAATTAAAAACTCTTACGGAATCCCAGAGAAGTGAGGTTCTCACGGTGACCATATGAAGATGTTTTCCGGGATGTTGCGTCAGGTAGTCTTTTAGGTATTTACGGGCATTTCAAAGGAACTTGCTCCTTATGACGGAGGCAGTCAGATTCTCTTAAACCTCGGACAGTATTTACTAGACCAGTGGTATTCAACCTGGGGTACGCGAAGACATCTTAGGGGGTACGTGAAATTTAAAAAAAAACATTATTTTGTGATAAACACTGAATAATCAGTAATGTAATTTATTTAATTTATTTTTAATGTAGATTATATACTATGTACAACTTGAATTATACACCAACAACTTTGGGGGTACAAAGTTAAAGAGAAATTATATCTGGGGGTACGCTAACAAAAAAGGTTGAATAACACTGTACTAGACTATGCGGTGAAACTTTTAAGAAGAAAGTCATCTTCAATCCCAGAGAAATATTATGAAATTCAATTATAAATTTGTATGCGTTAGTTGACTCTTAAGTTTCATAAGAAGTTTAGATATAGTACGCGGAGAATATCTGTTGTTATATTTTACACACGAACTAGGCCTTGGTACAGAGCGAATGAGTGAATAAAGAGCTATGTACAGAAAGAGTTGGTATTGAAATTGAACATGTGGAAGCTGTTTCAGATAGATATTCTGACGTTGGTGACGATGCAGTGTTGATATCTTCTGAGTTGACGACATGCAGACTTGTAGATACAAACCAACATTTCAGACCTTCAGGGCTAAAACGTGGGTATCTACCTGCAAGTCAACACGGATTTACGCCTCAGATCAAAATCGGCATATCGAAATTGCGTTCTATGATTTACTCTTGTGTTCCGTAACACTTATTTTTCAGTTTCCGTCGTTACGTTCCGTCATACGAAACAAGATACTGATGAAGCCGTGAAACACAAAGATGACTTGTCTTTTGACATGTTGTGCTGTTTAAGTCTAATAGACATTTCCTGATGTCTTAGAGGAGCTTGTTGCCTCTGTAATCAGGGTTGTGTGCAGCATCCAGAAAACAGTCATCTTCGTAGTCATCACCTTGAGAACCTGTAATCTCATATGAAATATCTAGGTCATTCACGCCACAAATCTAGATCAGTCTCTTGGGTTAAGTAACCTGAATATGAGAGAGTGGTTAAGGATATGGCATGGTTTTGATGTTAGCGGTGTTGACTGATCTGAGTTTATTACGAGAAAATAACATAACTGCTTGAAGATATCAGAAGTCAGTAATGCCTAGCAAGTTTCTGAGATTAACGTACAAGGTAGTTACTTACCCGACCGAATAATTTAGGGCTAAATATAACCTTTGCAATTCCCATAATAAATTCCATGTATTTTGGACTGCCGATGATGTGAATTGAGGTGATTTGTTCCCTAAAACTTTTCTGAAAATATTAATACATGTTAATATTAAAGAATTACAACTACTTACAAAAATAAAACACAGAAAATATGGTCCTAGGACTATAATTTCTTACGATTTCGATGTCATTCAAGTATAAATAATTTATTTGCATTCAGTGAACAAAATAAACATCTGCATTGGAGGTCGTATTTTGGTATTTTATACTTTAATATTCGAAATCCCTATACGGAGTTTGATAACGTTTTGTACACTATCTAAAAGGAAAGTTAAAGAAATTAATTCAAAGGTGGAAAAATCTCAGCTACATTTATGAAATATTATTTGAACAACGGTATTCATGAAAAGAGGGGCAGGTAAATCTACTGAAACAAACATAAAGACATAAACAGATAAAATTCGGGGCATACTTGATGTTTTTTGGTGGAGTGTAAACTCACTGCGCATAAATTGGCTTAATATCTTGAGTTCTGCCGGTGTCAGTTATTTAATATCTTTGACAGGCTTCATTATATGGATTATGAGTTTCTTAAAATAGAAAACGAGGAAAGAAAGAAATCGATCATAACTTGATTATTTAGTATTAGTGTGATACATCAACAGCCAGAAGGCCAATTCCAGAGAAGAAAACAAGAACACAATAATAAGCCTAGAAAGGAGACGATACGTAATCGTGGCTGTCGATTCTAACTATAGTGTAAATACAGCTTCTGAAAAACTGTTGCTCTTTGTAGTATAAGATACTTTATATTTATAATTCTGTCCGAGTCAAAGAAGAAAAGTTTAGAAGATTTCTGTCTTCTGGGTTATTGCGCTGTGTAGTCTGGTCGATGTTAACCAACGTTTCAGAGGTCATACTGCCTCCGTCATCGCCCTGATGACGGAGGCAGTATGACCTCTGAAACGTTGGTTAACATCGACCAGACTACACAGCGCAATAACCCAGAAGACAGAAATCTTCATACTCACCGCTGTGAGAACCTCAAGTCTTACAAGAAAAGTTTAGATGGCAACAAAGAATTAAACAGTTTAAAACTCAAATAGCCTACACCAGTTTCGTCGTCATCATCAGCCTGTTCAAGTTAAATTATGCTCGCGCCTTAATTCTTAGTAAAAAGTTAGTTCTGCAAAAAGCAGTATCTTACCTTGTGATACTCCATAGCCTTCTTTGCCATAGGAATTGTAAACTTTGCCAAGAATCCCGTACTGAAGTTTGTTAAGTCCGCGATGTATACAGAAGATAGACAGACGTCTTCGCACCTCCTTACGTCATGGAATAGGAGCCCCAGCTTACAGAAGTCCGCCATGTTAAACTTGGAGGGATCCTGATGTACCGGTCCAACTATGGTCACCCGACTGTATTCTTGCGTGAGACTCGGCAGAGGAACTACAAACCTAAAACCGGATATTTGAAAGTTCGTTAAGAAAACTTGACTGAAGAAACTTCCTCTTCTCCATAGTTTTGGGATAACGGAGACAAGTTATTACTGGATTAAACATATACAGAACTGACCTTTTTGTTACTGTGTGCAGATAGTTTGTTAGTATGAGAAAAAAATCTTGGGATGACGAAAACTGTGGCAATGATAGAACGTGTAAAAATATCCGAAGGTTAGAAATTACATAATCAGGAGGTTAATAATTTTTACTCTTGACATATTGTTTGCGTCTGCAATGACCCTACATTATTGAATTTATTATTATTATTACTCTTAATGCGAGACTGAGTTAAACTTACACAGTACTAGTGATGTTCTCGAACCAGTCTCCAGCAGGGTCTCTCTCTGTAAGCATGTCGGGCATGATGTTCTTGAACGAGTAGTACATGTCCAGACAGGCCTTCGTATGCTCCAAACTGTTCTTGCAGCCAATTATCCAATGTTCCAGCCTGTAATCTTCTGTTAACATTCGTTAAAGTTAAACATATACCTATTCAGAAAGTAGTGAAGATTAGTGACAGTGTGGAGGTACGACTCTAGAAAATCTGAACCTCTGCACCGGATTTGATGTTTGTGAACTGGCAACATTTATTTCTCTGCTATGTTCATCTTCGTCGGCTATACATTTTTATAATTTAATGCCTTCACGATCGTGATTTGATTTACGTAAGAGACTTTATTATTTTCTTTTCGTCATCGCTAACCGGATTTGTCTCTCAGACTTCAATCTAATTGGTACCTAGAGCTCTTTCACTGGAGACAAAGAGGTCGGAGCTTGAAGCTAACTATTCACCCCAATAAAGGAGTTTGGGCGCACGA